CATACATACATACATACATACATACATACATACACACATAGATACATAGATACATAGATACATACATACATACATGCATACATGCATACATACATACATGCATTCATACATGTATACATGCATACATGCATACATGCATACATATACACATACATATACAGATGCAAACACAAATGCACATGCAAATGCATACACATCTATGCATGTACATACAGATACATAAACATACGTATCACCAGGTATGTACTTGAATGATTGTCTCATAAGCACCAATTGGGTTTGCTTGTGCCTGTGACCTGGCCAAAATCAGGCTGGCTGTTTCTGACAGTGTTCCGAGACAACAAGGCGGCCCGCTCGTTCTTCTGCGTCTTCGCCATGATCCATGTGGGACTCCACTACCTACTGCGGCACCATCCAAAGTACGAGTTCAACAACGTAGTGTCCTGGTCGATAATCGTGCTGTCTGGCGCCGCTGGATTCGCCCATCTGCTGGTCGAGAGGTCCAGTTCGCGCCAGAGCTATGTCAAGCGGCCTTGAGCCAATATGCGTCCCTACGCACTCTTCAAAGCCCTGAACTAGTACACCTACTGTGCACGGGCAGAAAGGCCGCTCGGGTCCTCGTATGAGGAGGGTTTTTTTAAAGGGCTCGGGCGGCCTCTGCAATCGCTAAGCCTTAGACCCTTAAACCCCTAAACCCTAAACCCCGAAACCTTAAACCCTAAACTGCTGTGAGTTGTCTGGGCTGCTTGCCCGCTACCTGTCTCGCAGAAAAGTTCGGCCCGCGCCATGCAGCTCCTGGTTTGGTCTACCCTAAACCCTTATAGAATCCTTACTTATAACCCGTAATTATGAAAGGAAACCGCAAAGCCCTACAGTGGGGGTCACGGAAGGAAGGCATGGGGTGATATTTTGACTTTGGCAAATTTCCAGTGGATGGTGAATACCGATGCTCAGCGCTCCTGAGTCCAATTCTACAAAAACTACAGTTAATTAATATGCCCAAAAAAGCACTGTTCTTTATAGTCGAACTGCAGGGGTGTCTATATGGCAGTACAGGATTTGGCCCTTCGGTGTCATGCGATAAGACAGCTTTGACTCCGAAAGAGCGTCTCTCATGCACGAGTCGGGTCGGACTAGCAATATCGCAGATCTATACTTAGTTCTGAGATGCCAACCCTCTAACCCTGTGACCCCGAACGCGGTCCCCTCGTCGAAGTTTTCTAGACGCGGGGTAATTAGTTCTAGATTCTAGAGCGAAGTCTACATTGATTCGATGCACCCCGAACCCCGAAACCCTAAAACCTAAACCTACGGAATGACCCATAAGCAGGACGCAGGCCACAGAACCACTTCGGGTGTCCTGCATGCTGCGGCAGCTTCTTGAAGTTCCAATTCCGTTCGGGGATTGAACAAGTTTTGAGGTTGTGTAGGTGTTGTTTTCGGCATTATAGGGTTTTTGTAATTTGTAGAGGGTGCTATCGTCTTCATAGGGACATAGGGTTTGAAGGCTTACACGACCCTGTGCTCCAAAGTGCGAGCCTCAAGCCAAAGCCCAAGACCCTAAACGCAGCAAAACAGAACAGAGGGTTACCCAGTAGCGTTGCCGCTTGGACAGCTTCTGTGCCTAAGATAGGAACCTCCGCGAGTTCAAGGTACATACTACATACCAGGACCCTCCTTGTACCCGCAAATAGGGGTATATGGTCCCAAAGTATGGGTATATAGGGTCTAATGGAGGGTAGATGGAGGGTCTAGTTAGGTGCATGGAACCTTAGGAACAAACAGATTTTCCCCGAAGGCGTGAACCCGAACACCCCCGTTGGCGTCGGCCTGTTTCGTCAACTCCTCGCGGTGCTGTCCGCGTGGATCCCAGTGAGTGTGCGGTTGAGGATCCACGTTGCGACCTTCTTTGAGTTCTTGCTGGGGTAGCACAAGAATGGCGAGCCTGACAATAGACCTTTATAATTAGCAAGCCCCAAAAGAGCTCGATTGGAGTGTCCTGATCATGCTTTAGGACCTGTTTGGAGGCTCCTGTTGCTATCATGGGATTAGGGGATTAGGGTGGACGGGGTAGAGGGCTCAGCTTTGCTTCACAGGACAGCCTCGGCTTAGTCTTCACGAAGGGCAACTTCTAGATGTAAAGCGCTGCAGACCGCCACAAGCCCCTCCCATTGTTGATTTGAATGCCTCAGGGCTTTGGGATTTTGGGATTTCAAGCTTGTGGCACAGCGCGGATGGGGTTACGGCCCAAAGGGTAAAAAGTATTTCTATGGTAAAATGTAGGATTTCAACACGAAGGAACCCTGGTTATGACTTGAGAAAGCACCCCCCCCCATAACAGTAATTACCTAAGGTCTTTTGTAGATTGGCTTTTTTCGTGAGGACTTAGGTCGGGACCAGCTTGAAAAGAGTCAGGGGCTAATCTTTGCTGCCTGCCACTTTAAAAACCCCAGACCCCTAAATTTAGGGCTTAGGGCCCTAAGCCCTAAACCGCTTAGGGCCCTAAGCTTTAGGCCACCCTGGGCCGCTCAGAATCTGAAGCCTTCATTCCCAACACCCGATTTAACCGATCAGAACGATCGGACTGGGTTTGCGGTTTAGGGTTTAGGTTTTAGGGTTTAGGGTTTAGGAAGCATGTTTTTTTTTGTGCAAGTAGAAGCGTACAAGAATACCAGTGCTGCAACAAGACTGGACACCATGGGAGCCTGCAAGTTCATCATGGCTGCCTTAAAGTGTGGTTGGTCTCATGCCCGTACCAGCTGTACCATTCCCCAGGGCCCCAGTTACCTAAATAGTGGGTTACTAGTAACCACATATTATGTACCCTAGTAGCCTACTATTTAGGTAACTGGAGCCCTAGCCCCTAAACCCTAAACCCTAAACCCTACTATTTAGGTAACTGGAGCCCTAGGGATTCCTAGCAGTGATTAGTGGATGCCCCCCAAATTTAAAGCTGCGAAGAGACTGAGGCCCTCCTCTGCGGCTGGGCCCAAGAGCTGTGATGTCGGAAAGATTGAGGGTTTAGGGTTTAGGGTTTAGGGTTTAGGGTTCAGGGTTTAGGGTTTAGGGTTTAGGGTTTAGGGTTCAGGGTTCAGGGTTTAGAGTTTAGGGTTTAGGGGATTGGGGACTTGTGGATTTGAGGGCCTTGGAAGTTTAAGGGCTTCGGGCTCCGTTTAGTTGCTTCTGCGACTTCTTCTTTTTTTCTACTGGCGCTAACCCGAAACCTTACACCCGAACCCTGACTAAGCCCACTGCAAACGATACCATCGTGAGTTTGAGCTGTTCTGCATTTACGGTGTTGGTTTTGTTATAATAAACATCCAATCAGGATTAAACATGGTCACTCCCAACGAGGAACCCGTAACGATAGAGTGAGCTTGAGCTGTTCTTTGGGGGGTGGAGCTGATGGCTTGGCAGCTTCGGACTGTCTTTTGCGAGGGGTTCGAGATTTGTTTTGCGGCTTGGTGGTGTCTCTAACCCTGAACCCTAAACCCTAATAAACCCTATAAGCCCTAAAACCTTCACAGCCCTAAAACCCTAAACCCTAAACCCTAATGAACCCTAAACCCTAAAGCCTTTAAAGCCCTAAAGCCTTCAACCCTAAGGCTACTAGTCCCACATTGCCCCTAGACCCGGAATGGTTGAGAAGTGTATGGGCAGTTCTCTAAGTTAGGGCCCTTTTTCGCATTCTTTTCGCTATAAGCGTGCCGCACTTTTTGGGGGGACCCAAAAAGGTACCTTAATTTAGAGACTACCCTTTTGTACTGGCGCCACACAGCCCCCACAGTGGGTACCAAAAATGGGGTCAAGCCCCGAAGAAACTAACATTTGTAGAACAATTTCGTCTGATTTCCTTCTGCGTCCTTTCCTAAGTAGTAGGGACCCTTCTTAACCCTGCTTCTGGCTCTCTTACGAGGGATCTTATTGAGAGGGTCCATCTCCCCAAGGGGTCCCCCTAATTCCAACTCCTACCCTTAAGGGTCTGTGGAGTTTAGTTGAAAGAAAAACCCTTCGCCCGAAGAAAATTGGAATCTAAACCCTAAGCCCTAAGCCCTTCGCCGAAACAGGAATGACATCTAGACTTCAAACCCTAAATCAAGCCCAAACAAAAGTGACACCCGTGGAAGCTCTAGAATGCACCCAAAAACAACTAGGGTTTACAACTCTCAGCCTGCAAAAGCCGACTCCTAAGCTCCGAAGTGTTTCGTGCTTGTTTTAGCTGAGGGTGTCAGTCTAAGGGTTTGGGGTTTAGGGTTTAGGATCTCTATCTGGGGTTCAGGGTTCAGGGTTTAGGGTTCCGGGTTTAGGGTTTAGGGTCTCTAGGGTTTTTAGGGTTTGGGGTCTAGCGTTCAGGGTTTAGGGTTCAGGGTTCAGGGTTTAGGGTTCAGGGTTCAGGGTTTAGGGTTCAGGCAGGGTTGAGGGTTCAGGGTTTAGGGCTTCACGTTAGGGTCCGAAACACTATACATCGACTCTGCAAGCTTGCCCAAACCATCAGATTCTCCCTAAACAGCACAAAGCTGGCTGATTCCTAGCGTAATGTGGGTTTAGGGGTTAAACGGGTTTAGGGTTATATGCAGCTTGCATCGAATCTCAACATCGAAAGCCTGAGGCATCTAGTCCTTTGAGCCGAACGGCTCGATTTACCTATCTAGTATCGACTTTGGCCTTCCAGGCTTTCGGTGCAGGTTTAGGGTTTTGTGTTTAGGGTTTAGTTTAGGCTTTAGTTATTGTAGGTTTAGGGTTTTGTGTTTAAGGTTTAGTTTAGGGTTTAGTTATTGTACATGGATTCTGCTGTGGAGCCCAGGCATCGACAAGCAGCACCTTCTCATGTACTTCACTTGGTCCAAGACACACTGCCTGGAAATGACGGATGCAATGGCTCAGCGCGCAGCCCGATTTCAACACGGATGCTTCAAACAATGGTTGTTTGCGAGTTTTTCGGGTTTCTCATAGTGTTGCTGTGTTTCTACACACTGGTTTTAGGAGAGTTCAGCTGTAGGAATTGGCCTTCGTGGGTTTAGGATGCTGTAGAATTCCGCTACAGCAGGTTTTGTGGGGTTCTATGTTTCGGTCTTGGGATGTTGTAGGGTTTGGATGTTGAAGCTTCCCTGCATACCAGTACTGTCAGGACTCTACTGAACCCCAGAACCATTACTCTGAGCCAATTCTAATAATTCGGTTTATAGGGTTTAGGGCTTGTAGGGTTTATGGTTTATGGCTTGGTGTTTAGGATTTAGGGTTTATAGGGTTTATGGTTCAGGGCTTAGGGTTTAGGGTTATTTCCAAGGCCCCTACATTAGGCTACAGGGCTTCCCACAAAAAAAGAAGCACCCAACACCCTCAATCGTTAAGGGGTTTGAGCCCATAGATCCCTCTAAAGGAATTCCTATAGCCCCTTTAAAGGAACCCCTATAGACCCCCTTGAAGGAACCCTTAAAAGAGACCCGGGTTGCTTCGGACTGCTTGAGCCTTCAGACGCGGGCGGAGCTTATAGGTCGACTGGATGCTACCCTTGGCCTAGGCCCTAGAATGTACTACTTGGAGGATGTAGTACTGGCGGGGATCCTTTGTTGTTTAAATATGGGATCTTAGCCATCGCATAGGTTACCCGCCTACAGAGGTGCTTGGTTACCTTGACTTCTTGTTGATGAATTTCGCCTCCCCAAAAAATGCTACAGTTTAGGGTTCTAGGCAGAGTCCTGCAACGCCTCAGCCAGCATAGACGCCAAGCACCCCCCTCAAGAAATACCCTAAACCCTAAACCCACAACATGACCACGGACACAGGGGGAGAGTGAGAGCCTTTTCATTCCAGATTGTGGCCGTAAGGGTAAGATCAGAGGATGGCAGTGCCACACATGGAACCTAATCTTGGTAAGAGCTCTAGAAATGTACCTTTCTGTGCATAACTTAGAAGGCCCAAAACTTTCGGGTCCTGAGCGCCCCCGAAGTGGCCCCACGATCGCGAGGTTTTGGAGCAAGTCTTCTTGAAGGCGGGCGTCACCACAGCTGGAAGACTAAGGGCCCTTTCGTCTTGGGTTTAGGGTTTAGGGTTTAGGATTTAGGGTTTAGGGTTTAGGGTTTAGGGTGGCAAGGTTTAGGTGTTGGGTTTTGGGTCTTCAGGTTTAGGCTTTAGCATTGGGCTAAGGAAGCGCCTTGTGGCTACTTTCGATTTGGGCTCCGCGCCCAGAGCTCGTTGTAAGAGGGATCGCAGATCCAAGACAGAAGCTAAGTTGGAGACAGGAGGCATTCTTGGTGATGCTGCTGATTGTTGGCCCAGAGGGTCCATATGTACTACAATTATGGACTCAGGCCCCAAGACAAGAGCCCATCCCTTGTTATGGTTTCGGGAACTTAAGTCCATCATAGTAGTATATACTTCTTGAGCCTAAACCCCGAAGCCCTCTCGGTTGGAACTACTCATGATCATTGTAGTGGTATATATGGGCCCTCTTGGAGGTGATATAGCCCGGTATTGTCATGTCCAGCGTGCCCTAAACCTGAATAAACCGTTCAGCGCATGGCATTTTTACGTCTCTGTCGAACAGTAAAGCTCAAGGGGATTGCAGGTTCAGGGTAGCCCCAAGACTCCGAGGTACCATTGTAGGTGATTCCTAAGATCGAAATCATGCACTCTACGAACAAGAATGAGTTCCTATAATATGGATACCATAAACCCTAAACCCTAAGCCCTAAACCCTGATGGATACCGCTGGATACCATGCATTCCCCTTTGCCTGTACCTCGGACCCCTTGGGTTGTGGCTTTTTTCTTCAACACGCCCCGAGGCTTCAGGCACTTCCAGTTCAGAGACCCCACTGCCCACACCGAAACTAGAGGGTTTAGGGTTTCGGGTTTGAGGGGTTTAGAGGAGGGTTTTAGGGTTCAGGGGTTTGGGGTTTAGGCTTTATGGTCTCTAAATTAGGGTCCCGCTTTAGACCCCCAACACAGTACGGCACCCTTATACAAAGGATCCTTAAAAGGGACTCGAAAATAGAGAACCACCCAGATTCACTGCATATGATCTCAAAAGCTCAAAAGCTGTTTAAGGGTTGCGTTTTAGGGTGTAGGGTTTAGGGTTTACCCTAAACCCGAAAGCCTAAATCCTAAAGCCGGAGCCCCCCATCCGAGCAGTTGGAATCTCTCGTGCCGGAATGCTGCCGTAGGTCGGGAAAGCGGGGGCGCCGCTTCTCTCACAGGGCATCGTCGAAAACGCGCCCTGCTTGCAACTACAAGGGTTCAGGGTTTAGGGTTCAGGGTAGGTCCGCCACGGGGCAGATTACAGGTCTGCAACGCATCACTGCACGTGCACGTCTTCTATATAGTGCATCTATACAGGGGCTTTGGTAAAGGTTGCCGATCCCTAAACCCTAAACCCTGAATCCCAAAGCCCCTAAACACTACACCCTAAAGAGCAAAGATGGGTTCAGCTATAAGTATTCTAAGCAGCCCCGAGGACCTGGCCGACCCTAAGGGTTCCATGTGCCCAAATAGGGATCCTTTAAGGGTTACTGTAAGGGTTCTATAAGGTCATAAGGTTTCGGGTCTTGGGATTGAAGGGTCCATGTACCCAAAAAGTTAGAGACTTTTCGCCCCAAAGTGCCTAGATGGTCCCGTGTCGCCGTGTCGGTACACACCGCCCCGCCCCCAGCTGTCTCCGCCTGGCACCCTCCTGCCATGATCTTCCCTCATCGAACCTTAAACCCTACACGCTCAACCCAGCATGCCAAGAGAAACCTGAAAGCCCAACCCGTCAGACGCTACCGGTTTAGCCCCGAACCCTAAAGCCTACAAGCTGAACCCGAGATCCCTCAGCCGCCACGCACAGGGGGAGGGCACGATGCTGCACCATGCATAGTATCATAGGGACCACTTGAGGGCCCAAGTATATAGTATTTGGGTACATGGACCCCAGTGTTCCGGGTTCCTTTGAGGGTTCTGGGTTGAGCGTTTTGGGTTGACGGTTTTGGGTTATGGAGCAGCGAAGCAAGTGCAGACCCCGAGCTGAACCAAACCCTGACCGTTCATCCTCTGTACTAAGATTTCCCTCCTTACCTAGAGTCTCCATTGGAGTTCCTTTTTGGGGTTACCTTTTAGTTTCCTTAATATGAAATGGGTTAAACCAAAAACAAGAACTACATTGGAGACTGTTGGTATTCTTGGAGCCCAGAATCAGGCGTCGTGCTTGTCTTGCTTACCTTCTCTCGTATTATAGGATCCGAATCGTTGGTTGCAGAGGCTTGGCAAGATAGGGGCCTTGCTTACAGTGACATCGGGATCCTACATAATATAGAGCCCTGATCAGAAGACACCTTTCCTGAATGACCTTAGCCCGAGACCTTAGAACTCCTTTCAGAATCCTTCTGGGGTGGGGGGGCTATCAACCAGGGACTAACTTTTCGAATGAGAAGTAAAGACCCAAACGGACGACTTGAGGACTTCTACCGCGTCTGCTACAGCATGGATGTACTGGACACGAATGGACGCAAGGGCATTCCGAGGGGTCAGATCGCGCTGCTCTTCCAGGAGCTTGTGTTTCGTAGGCTTTTGATATGGGGCCCAAAGACAAAATAGACCCTAAACCCTAAGCCGTAGATGTTAGACTCTAGCGGATGGAAAACGGCGCTCAACAACAAACACCCTAAACCCTATAAACCCTAAACTGTCAACAAACAAAATCCAAGCAGCTGCTCCACGGTAGGCCCAGGCTTCCAAGTGCGATGCTCCAAGCCCGAAGCCTTACGAAGGTCTCTCTAGACCCCCCCTTTTAGAGCAGAATGTAAACCATGCAGAAATATGTATGTAACATTATATTAATCCATATACATATATGTGTGTGTATAGATGTATATATATATATATAAACACAGATACATATACATATACATATACATATACATATACATATACATATACATATACATGTACATATACATATACACACACATATATATATTTATTTATTTTCTTTGTGTGTATATATATATATACATACAGATGCATATAGAGATAGATATTTAGATAGGTAGATAGATATACAAACATACAGGCAGATAAACGGATAGATAGATAGTTAGATATAGACTGACAGAGACGGCGACACAGAGCTAGAAAACACGGCAAGGCGAGAGGTTCAGGCTCCCAAGTCTCCAGCGGTATGATGGTGGCGGGAAGGATGTGGCGGGCTCACTCGCAGGGATCACCGCGCAAACGTATGAATTGAACGGTTTGCAGCGGCCACCATGTTTCGGGAATGAAGAGGAAGACGACTAATGCCTGCAACTCATCCGTGCATGAAGTTTCTGAAAGTGGAACCCCTACACAAATGTATACAACGGTAGTCCCTGACAATGTCAGAGGGAGGAGTCCTTGCACAGGCAGTGTAAAGATCCTATCCCTACAAAACTGGTTATCCAGAACAGGCTACTGCAGTCGTCAGTCTCGATACCCTAGAACCTTACCCCATATAAAGCCTTGCCAGGAGCTGTCCCGGACCTTACAGCAAAAGCTGGCTGAGCGCGACAACCGCAAGCACCCATACCGCGCCCGAAAGGTTGGGGGTTCCTGGTTTCGTGGGGTTTCGGGGTTCAGGGTTTAGGGTTTAGGGTTTCGGGGTTCGGGGTTCAGGGTTTAGGGTCTTGGGGTTTGGGGTGATAGCGCTGCCTGTCTTGGTTGAGATGGTTTTCTGATGCTCGTGGTAGGGCCCCTTCGAAGAGGAATCTGGTATCGTAGCTCGGAATGTGAAATGGGTTTTTTTAGGGAAACCCTAAACTCTAAAACCCTAAAGGTTAGTTAGTCAGTGAGGACCCAGGGTTCAGGTTTGACACTGAGGCTTAGGATCTTGGTTGTTGGTGCAACATGGCCTCCGTGGGCACCAGAAAAGGGCATTTAGGCTTGTGGTAGATGCTAGCTAAGGGGTCTATTAGCAGTGAAGCGAGGTAAGATTTTGTTCTGGCTGCAACTGGTAGAATTGAGGGTGCGGGCTTGGTATCACGGTACATAGCCAGATTTCTGCTGGGTCGCTGTAATGGCTTAAGGGCTTTCAGTTGAAGCTTAGTGGGAGCTTCACGGCGTAGAAACTAAACCCTATTCCGAAACGCCAAAACACCCTGTTCCGCGCCGCCCTAAACCCTAAACCCTACCCTAAGACTCCAAATGTCCCAAAGTAGCTGCCATTTATAGACTTTAGACACCAAAGTAGGTACTATTTGTAGACTTGGAGTCTTAGGGCTATAAACTCGAGCCCTCAAAAGAAACCCCACACCTCCAGCAGCGCAAAACCCCAGCAGGACACACGAGCCTCTCCGGAGAAGAAGCGTGTTGATCACGCGTGTTCGACTCAGCTCCATCCGGTGCCGTGAAACCCATCGGGTCCACACGGTTTAGGGTTTAGGGGTTTAGGGTTTAGGGTTTGGGGGTTTAGGGTTTAGAGTTTAGGGGTTTAGGGGTTTAGGGTTAATCTAGGGCTACCGTTATGGAACTAGATTCCCAAAGGCCATTCTTAGTATGGGTTTCGGGGGGCCTACTGGACGCAAGAAATTCCCTTCTAGGGTCCCCTAAACCCTAAACCCCTAAACCCTAAACCCCCAAACCCTAAACCCCTGACTGAACCCTAAACAGCCCTAAACCCGAAACCCCTAAACCCCTAAACCTCGTGGAGCCTTCGGGTAACATGTATGTACCCACTTATGTAATTGCGCCTCAGGCTCACACTACGCACAGGCCCCTAAGTAGTTCCTTTTTGCGGTTTATATTTAGAATTCTATAAGGTAATCCCAAAAAGGAACTACTTCGGGGCCTATGGGTATCCAATAGAACACAAGAATGAGTCCCATGGTGTGTCCACACTAATTGGTGAAGGTCATAGCGAACCTCAGAAAGTTGGAACATGGGTTTAGAATAAATTAGTGCTTGGATCCCTTCTTCTTTGACCCCTGAAGCCTAAACCCTAAACCCTAAACCCTAAAGCCTAAACCCCCAAGAGCCAAGAGCATGAGTCATGAGGATAAGAATGTTCTACTAAATGATTTTTGAAGCCAGAAGCACCTAAGTCGAGGCCCGGCATGCATGAGATCCGCGGATCGGCCCAGCTGTCGGTGCTGCTGGAGATGCTTTGGCTCCTTGGATTGCGATTCCGGTGGGAAAATTTACCATTTCATGCCAAGGGGTTTGAACAAACAATAGTCGTATGCCTGAGGATTCCTGCATCACTGGTGTTTGTGTATGTATTTGTAGTGTATGCATGATGTAGACCGTAGACGCCCCGAAAATCTAGTTCCAATACTCGGGCTTCAAGACTAGGCAGTAGTCAGTAGGTTGAGAGTTTCTCCAGGCCGGAAAGGCAACGAGTATTCGAGAAGTGCTGCATGAATATAGTTGGTGCCCCCAAGCCCACAACCCCTACACGCCCTAAACCGCAGACCCCATGTACTTAGACCTTCTCCTCTCGAAGCCCTGGAGAGCCTAAGCCCTAAACTCCAGAAGCACACCCTGCCTGCAACCAGACCCGCAGCCATGAACCCTAAACCCCAAACCCTAAAGCCTAAACCCAAAACCCCCTAACCCTATAAATCCTAGCCCGAACTGGAAGATCTCGAAGCTGCAAAGAGCGGCATGGGTCCCAAAGTCCCGGGGCCACCATCCTCAAACTCAGATCCTGGCGCTGAGTAAGTAGTCATAGGATTCTTCAAGACCGCCCCCCCCCCGTGTCCTGTATATTTCCACTATCCTCTGCAATGCCCCCGAAGTCCCTAAACCTTTTCAGGAACCCCGACTCCTAAAAACCTTAAATCCCAAACCTTAAGCCCTGCATCCTAACACCCTAACGAAGGAGGGCGCTGCCGGGCCGCCCGTTCCCGACGGCCGTCGACATGGCCTCTTGTCTGCGGGTGGCTATACAGAGGATCTGGGGTTGGAAGTGCCCGAAAACGGATCCTAATTGATGTTACGGTACCTATAACTCTGTATAGACCCTAAAGCCCGAAACCCTGAAGCCTGGCTACATCCGACCGTCCAAGTAGTGGCCGAGAATGCAGGATTTGTGGGTTTAGGGGTTTAGGGTTTGGGGGTTTCAGGTTAGGGGTGTAGGGTTCAAGGGCTTGGGTTCAGGGATTTAGGCTTTAGGGGCGCCAAAAACCACGGTCAAGGGCTACAACCCCTGAAGCCCCATGGCAGACTGTCTGGGCCTGAGCTGTTTTGCAGCTCTTTTTTTTCGCCGCCGGAAGGGGCTAAACCCTAAACCCTACCCCCTACACTTCTAAACCCTAAACTCCTAAACCCTAAACCCCCAAACCCTAAACCCTAAACTCCTAAACCTACAAACCCTATAAAGCCTAAATCCTCAACCCCAAGGCCTAAACGCCTACCTTATAACTCCCATTATAACAATATAACCCACCTCCTCGATTTGTACCAAGACTTCACAATAAGGATCTGTAAACAGGTAGGTTGTATAGCGTCCAGGCTAAACCTAAACTCTAAAATCTCAACCTCAGAATAAATGGTTATAGAAGAAAAACCCACCCTGAGGCTCTGAGGACTCATGTTTTAAGGTTTTTGGGCCCAAAGACCCTACGATGTTTGAGGCATTTGGGCTATTCTGAGCCCTAGGGAAAGTATCTTTGCAGGTACTCCATAGTAGTTGCTTTTTGGGATTACCTTATAGGATCCTATTCCTAAATGTAAACCACATAAAGGAACTACTATGGAGCCTATGGGAATTGAAGGAAAAGAGCCTTTGCAGGTACTCACGTTCCTGGAGAAGGCTTCGGAGGACGGTGGCAAGCGGCGCGCATCATTTTGAGGCCCGTTCAGGGGTTTGGGTTGTGCACTTTTTGGATGATAGAAAAAAGTGTGTACGAGGCTTCTCTCAAGTTTAAGCATTTCAGAGTGAGTTCGACGTTTTGGGTCGTACGATGTGTTTACATCGGCTTGGATAACCCAGCACCTTGAACTTGTGAGAGCATTAACTTCTCAAACTTTGCAAGGTGCTAAGGGTATTTAGGACTGGCTCAGTGTTTTACAGTCGTAGAGTGATAAGTTCTGGGGCAGCCGCTTGGGGGTTTAGGGTTTAGTTTAGACTATCTACGTGTCGACCCACAAAGCCATGTAAGCAAACGCTGTTGCAGCCTCTTCCTTCAATTGCGTGAAGTTACCGGGTTCAGAAGCAGTAAGGCCTATAGGATATTGGGTTCCGTTTTTTTGTGCAGCTCCCCTATATGCTTCCATAGCACTAGCCAACAACCACGGCCGATACCCTAAACCCTAAACCCGATACTGCATCAGGTCAGTGAAGGCCAGCACAAGTTTGACACCCGAGTACTGTGCATAGCAACTCTCGATTGCCGATCTCTGTGCATCGAGAAGTCCCAGGAACAGCTGTCCAGGTCTTAAGAAGACTAATATTAACATACCTTAGCTTCTGCCTTAAAATATGAGCATCCCAAGTGAGCCAACTATGCTATACTTTCCAGATGGCACGTCCCGAGTCACCTAGAAAGCTGCACGCACCCTTAGATTTGCCATTTGGCTTCTCCCCACAAGTGCCGTGCCCAACTCTCGGCCCCACCAGACCATCCCTAAACCCTAAACCCTAAACCCAAATCCTCCTCAAGGCCAACCTCCATGCAAGTAGTACATGCCATCTCCTAAGCCTAAAGCCCCACACCGGAAACCTTGCAAGTCCCTAGAGGCCGCTGCAAATCCTTGCGAAGCTCTAGCAAAAAAAAGCAATCATAGCATCTCTATACCCATATGGGTAAAGATTACTTACACTTTTCAATTCGATTCGTCCTCCAGGTGTCACACCATGTTCGGCTCCACCTGTGCTGTGAAGCGGCACTTTCTCCCCAAAGAGGGCAAAGGAGGTTACCGTGAGGATCCAAGTAGCCGGATAGTATCTTGGTGCTTGTAAATCTACATTCCCAATTGTTTTGGTACCCGTACTTGGACCTCAGGGATTTGCAGAAAGCCCAGGCGGTCTAGTCTGTGGGGATAGGTAAAAACAATCACTGAGCGGTGGGTTGGCTTGAATTTGACCCTAAACCCTAAACCCTCAAACCCTGGAGCCCTAAACCTTAAACCCTCAACCCTAAGCCCTAAGATTTAGGACTTTGGCTTTAGGGGTGTTCAGCGTCTCGGGGCCAGGCGGTTTGGGGTCTGGTGGTTTCGGAGTATTTAGCGCGTCTGAGTTTTAAAATAGGCTCGAACAATTAGTAATGCGATGTAGCCAGGGCTTTCAAAGAAATATTAAGTATGGAAATCACAAACACGGTAGTTTATTACGTACTTATTCATGAAGGTCGCGGTATGGACTGGTTCGTGGCATTAAGAGATTTGCAGCTCAGGCGAGCTTTCGACAGCAAGTTTGAAGGCCGTTAGGCACAGCTGCTGTAATTTAAAGCCAAAGCTTTGTAGACTTTATCCAAAGTCGTCCAAACTCTAAGTCCTGAACCCTCAGAAGTTGGCTGCAAAACTACAGTTGCGTGAGCAGAGAGATATTCGGGGAAGGGTTGTCGGCAACCGGGTTTCCCCCTCCCCAGAGATTTATGACCGTCTTTGTAAGAAGAAACTCTGTCTTGTGGTTAGAATCCTACAATGAGAAACGAAACTTACTGGAGAAAAAGTTGGGAATTTTTAAGTAAACCCCAAGTCTAAATCCGCAACCTCTATGGTTTCGGAATTCCGTCATCTAGAGCTCGGAGCGTTTCGGAGGGCACTGGAGTTCTAAGCTTTCCTGGGCTTTCCCGGAACTCTTCCATTAACTTTTCGCCGGAATGCCTGGCTTCTGGAGTACTTTGAGTAATGCTCCCTGAACCCTGATAGCTTGATTCGGGTACTCCGGAAGCCAGTATTGCTCGTCGAAATAGGCTTCACCGCATTTCTTGCCGACAGTGGAGTGTGGTTCTCTATGCAACCCGCAGCATTCGTTTTATTCCAAAGGGTTTCGACGGAGCCTGCATTATCCGTTAGTCATGCCTCAAGAGTCTCCAGCACGCTGAATTTGAAGCAGATGTCCGGCTAAGGATCCTAATCTGGATGTTTCAAACTCGTGCTTATGAGCTTGCTTACTGTATGCTACTATTATGGAATTAGGCGCCAACAGACCATCCTTATTCTTCTTTTGGGGACCTACTTCTATAATAGTAGTATATGTGGACCCTCTTGCTTTCATCAGGGCTCATCCATATGCATCCACCCCCAAGCCCCATCCCTAAAGCACAACATTGAGGACTCATATAAAAGAATCATAATAAGGAGCCCTCAAGGCAAGCTTCAGGGTATTCAGGGTACCCGAAATCCTCGAGTCCTTAGAGCCGTCGGGCACAAAGAGCAATTTAGGTTGTAGGGTACGCGCCGGGTTAGGATCACTTCAAGCAGCAGAACACTCTAACCTATTAACCCTTAAAAACGTAAACCCCTACTCGTTTGGCTCCATAAACCCGTCCACACTTCCCTAAGTGTCCACGTACCTAAATAGGTCATATAATTTATTCGGCATTAAAGTGCCAAACGAACTAGAATTCCTCTAAGGCCAAAGTACATTACTTAATTGATAGGCACATGGAGCGTTAGGGTTCCGTTCACACTCAACCCTCGGAGACTCTTGGTGGCCATCGCTGTGCAAAGTACAGCCGTGGCTCCACACCCCGAAGGGTCCATGCACCCAAATAGTATATACTTTGGCCTTAAAGTTGTCCCTATATAGGTACTTTGGGGCCAAAGTATATACTGTCTGGGTACATGGACCCTTAGGGCACATCTCACTCGATTCGAAACTACCCCTCGGAGTCCAAATGCCTACGGATCGTATCTCGAGCCCTGAACCCGCAACCCCTGACCCCAAAAACCCTGCAAAAAAAAAGCACCCTAAAACTGAATATATGATATAGGCCCTAAACCCTAAATCCTACACCCTAAACCCTAAACCCCAAGCCCTAAATCTGAAAATATGATATACAGAGGCCTTGAGAAGCTCAATGGGGTCTTTCGGATAGATGATAGCTAGGTTGGCAAGTCTTTATTCTGCCCCGGTATCCCTTCAAAACTCTCTTCGAATTCAGAAGCAGGGTTGTCCGAAAGACTAACGGACAAAGACTGCAGTTCTAAATGCCAAACCCTGGGCCATAAGCCAGAAGGCCTGACAATCCAAACAATAGGTTTAGGCCCTTGAATCGCAAGCAAGCCAAGCTATTCAGCACTTGGACCCGCTGGGAAAGAGCAATGTCAATGATTAGTCAGGCCGAGTTGAATAGCTGAAACCCTGAGCTTGGGGCTTAGGTTTGAGGCGTTGCTTTTTGGACTGCGTGCAGGCTCAACGTGTTCTCTTGTGGATGGAGGTTTTTAAAAGCTGTATGGCTGGCGGTTATAGAGCAGTTAGGGCATCATGGATCTTCATAGGCCATTTTTAAAGTGTGTTGTTTTGCACGTGTATGTCAGCTAATTCTAAAGCCCTAAAAACCTCCCACAATCCATGCATCAACGCAAATTCGGGTGGCTTGAAGGTTCTGGGGGACCGATTATAGCCCTAGACAGAACCCTCACCCCGACTAATTGAACCCTTAAAATACCTTTTTATTATTGGACCTTACGCTCGCCCACCCCCACTTACCCACCATTCCCTTACTCCCCCCAGGTACCTACTAAAAGGTACTACAGCCCCTACTGCCCTGTATTGCAGGTATCTGGGGTTTGGGGGATTTTGAGGACGTTTACAAGGAAGTCATGACAAGGAGCCCCAAAAAGGACCTATATAAAACCCTAAACCCTAAACCCTCAACCCTAAACCCTAAACCGGTCCGTTAGGCCGTTTATTTCCTAGAGCCTCAACTCTTTAAGCCGGCAATCGCTTCAGGGTTTTAGGGTTTAGGGTTTAGGGTTCAGGGGGTCGGGTTCAGGGTTTAGGGTTTAGAAGTTTAGAGTTCAGGGTTTAGGGGATGTAAATAGGTAGTTCTCTGAACTAGGGTTTCTTTTGGGGGTCCTGTTTATAAGGGTGCCGTACTATATTGGGGAGCTGAAACGGGACCCTTCTTTAGAGAAATACCCAAATCCACATTGGCACGTAAATCAGGGTGCTTCTATATAGGTAGTATGGGGTGGGGTCAGTAAGAATCCTTTGTTCCTGAGTATGTCTGTTATGAAGCGCTTTTCTAGCTGTCAAGGCTTCTAGTTTAAGCCCTTACCGTAACCTTGTAGCGAAACCTCTAACGACTCCTTAAATCGAGACTCTAGCCTATGCCCCTATGTTGGAGAGTCTTGCAGCTTGGTCCATACACACCTGAACCCTAAAGCCTAAATCCTAAAACCCTAAAGCTCTAAACCCTAAACCCTTAAACCCTATGAACTCTAAACCCTAAGCCCTAAACCGCCCACCTTATAGAGGATTCAAAGCCCTGCACCCGCACTTTGGAACGAAGACTCCTCCGTTCTCAAGCCTCTTCTGGGATGTCAGGCCCCTGTCCTTAAAAGCAGTTTAGGGTTTAGGGTTTAGGGTTTAGGGTGGGTATGTAGGGTATATTTGAGGGTAGTTGGGTAGGGTTTCGGAAAGTTTGGGATTTTGGGCTAAAGGGCCAAGACCCGAACAACTCTTGGATAGAAACGGTGGGTTGTCGGTTTCGCAGATCCGTAGAACTTGCCTGAAAGATTAGAATATGGTTTTGGGGAGTATTGTACTAGCATATAAGGAGCCCTAGAGCATAGCATATTTTGCAGGCTGTTGAACTTCCAGCGCATCACGGACGCTTGGCTGAGCTTTCTGTGTTTTACATATCTGACGATTGTTCATGTCAGTGCGCGTGTGCATGCTCGCGTGCGCGCGTGTTTGTATATGTCTCTGTGTGTGTGTATCCGTGTCTCTGTGTGTGTGTGTAAACCCACCCTAAACCCTAAACCCTAAACCCACCAACCCCTAAAACCTCTGTGGGAAACCCAGATGATACCCTGACGCAGCCGAGGTTTTCTACCCTCCAACGTTGAAGGCCGGTGAGGCCTGGGAAGGGAATAACTTTCGCTGGGGTTCAGTATTTGTTTGTTTGGCGTTTAATTACATTTGACAAGCCCTAAACCCCTTAACCCTAAACCCCTAGACGCCCAAACCCCTAAACCCTAAACCCCTAAACCCCTAGACCCCTAGACCCCTAAGCCCCTAAACCCCTAAACCCCTAAACCCAAAACCCAAAACCCCTAAACCCCTAAACCCTTAAAACCCCTAAACCCTAAACTTAGGCCCACACCGGATCCCTGGCAGGTCTGGCGGCTTTGGACGCATGCGCTGCTCCACAGCGACCTCGGGTCCCGTGGACCGGGTCAGAGTTGGGGGTTTAGGGTTTAGAGGTTTTGGGGGTTTAGAGGTTTTGGGGGTTTAGGGGTTTTGGGATTTAGGGTTGAGGGTTTAGGGGTTTTGAGGTTTGGGGTTGAGGGGTTTAGGGGTTGAGGTTGAGGGTTTAGGCGTTATAGGGTTTAGGGATGAGGCTTCGGAGTTTAGCGTTTCGGGCCTGGGTTCCAGGTTCAGACATTTAGGTTTAATTATGGGGTTTGGGTTGGAGGCTTGCGGGATTGCTTGGGGCCTACATATGACACGTATGTATGTGATTGTATGTGTGTGTATATATATATACACATGTACATCATTAGGGCATGCATAGATACATACAGTTTATGTATATATATATATATACATGTGTATATATATATATGTGTACGTACACATCAAATCACACAAACATAGGTACATGCATGCATGCATGCATGCTTACATACATACATACATGCTTGCTTACTTACTTACATACATACATACGTACATACATACACACATACATACATACATACATACATAGCCACATACATACATACACACATACCTACC